TTCCCCCCAAAATTAATTCAGCTGTTTATCTTTTCCCAGAATAAAGCTTAAATCATAAAAAGGTCCATTCTGGAAATTAAAGCGATGGACAATACAAGCTCTAAAAAGACTGTTCTGCTGGTAAAAGTCCACCATGCTTCTCCCCATTACCAGTTGAGCTACACGTTTTGATGCATTGTGAGAAAAGCAGCAAACTTAAAATCTTGACAGGAATCAAAGAACAATGGGTGAACAGTGATCCCATGTGATTTCCTTCTTTTTGGTTTAAAGGCGAATGACATAAACTTGAGGGATTTTGTGATCTTTCAAGTAAGGCGAAGAGGATAGCAGAGAACCCGCTCCGTGGCTGAGAATTTCCCAGTGTGTACTGGACTGCAGCCTAAGTTGCGAGTAAACCGTTCCGCTCCGCTTCCAGCGTGAAATAGGGGTTAGGGACACAAAGTAGACTGGGTATGCATCTACAGCACCATAGCAAACCAGTCTGCGCTATAACTGCCCATATGTGTAACACAGGGCCGTGCTGGTGGTGGTAATTTTTCCAGAGAAATTGTGTGTAGGCACCACAGAAACAATGAAAAGGGCCATAAAAAGCCCATCTGTTACGGTAGAAACAGTCTTTGTTCGACGAGTCTTGTTCGTTCTCCAGGGATGAAAAGAGAAATGAACATGACATTCTCACATCCCATTTGGTAGCAAAGGAACTTAATGTGTTAAAATGGCAGAAACAAGGCTCTCCTCTAATTACTTCAGAACAAAGAGGACAAGTCAAACACCGGGTTGTGGTTTTGATATCACCGCTTTGGTGGAAAAGGCTTTAGATTTTCCACTGATGCATGTAGAGACACACAAAACACCTGACAGCTTTTGTTCATATTCCTGTTATCTTCCGTTTAAGTATGGGAGAACACACTAGAGCAGCTGAAACCATCAATCAGAATAAGATGCAGATGTTAGCAGAGAGCTCATAGACCAGGTGTACAACATGCATTTGAAGGATGGATGAGTTACTATTATCTCATCGTGAGTGTGTGTGTGTGTGTGTGTGTGTGTGTGTGTGTGTGTGTGTGTGTGTGTGTGGCCAACTCACTGTAGAAGTGTGTCCCTCTTTGTGTCTGTTGTTGCATCTCTAATTATGGATCACAGCAGCCCATAATGATTGTGTAACTGTGCTGTGACGCACAAGAGCTCACTTTACTTTACGTGTGTGTGTGTGTGTGTGTGTGTGTGTGTGTGTGTGTGTGTGCACACATGAACTCTGGCCTATAGGATCTTAAGAACTTCCTGGAAGATCATAATCAGTGTTGTGTAAAAGTAAAACAGGCTCAACATCAAAATGAATTAATGTTCAACTCAAATTTTTAACAGAAATTCATTAAAATTTTGACTGGACATGTTACACACTAAACTGTGAGCGCTGCAGACGCTGCACTTCTAATTTCTACTGCAAACAACTGTGAGATTGCTTGTAAACAGGCATTTAATGTTACATTTATGGTAATGTAATGGCTTATTTAAAGTGCTTGTATGAATTGAAATGACATATTTGGCTCTAGAGTTGTTTTAAGAAAACAGAAATAGACTTTGAACTGGTTCCTATAGTGACTACAGCCATTAGCTCATTGGTCTGGTCAGAACTAATCTCATTTTCTAATCTGAGGTTGTTCAATGAGCTTTGGACAGCAGGAAATATTATGTTTATAACATTTTCACAGAAACACTGAACTATTTCTTTCAGGTAAGCAGTTTCTGAACCACCATCCAGGTGTTTTCAGATTTAGAAAAGCGTTTACAGTAAAGGTGTTAGGGGTCTGGAGGGCAGGTCTGGCTTTTTGAACAGAAGGAGTGCACCTGCACTGGGTGACAAAAGGAGGGAGAGGTCTGCGCAGCAGCTGCCTGAAGTATAAAACAACTGTGAGCAGAAAAAAAACCCACTACTGCTATAAATCCCAAAGCCTTTGTCGTAGAAGGTCTCGTTCCCACCCATGAGTCTGTTTGTAGTGCAGCTTGTTTTCTCTGCTAAATGAATTCCTATTACGATGTTTATTGTAAAGAACAAGTTTGTATTTGACCAATCAAAGAGAAGCAGGACTTTCTGAAGAGTTAGAAAAATGATTCAAAAAGTCTGAATAGTTTGTGTGATAATAAGTTTATGACATTTTCACTAATGTGTTCTTATTCGGAAAACAGTGATTAATTCTTAGTCGTCATGGGAAAGTGGTTCACAACCTGATCTGACCCGAGAGGACTGAAAGCAGCTAAAGCCTGTTAGAAATGCTTTCAGGGTTTTTAAGTGTTTTACTCAGAGTTTGGGTATGACTCTCACTCATATGAAACAGGATTTCAGTTGTGCGATTAAACGCTGTTTAATCAGCTTATCGTAGACGTTAATTAAGGGGTAGGAGCTTTGTGATAGACCCGACTGACCCAGACTGCAACAAGACACGAACACAGAGAGGGTGTGCAGAGGAGTCAAAGCCTGGATGGATTCTCTTGATGCTCAATCCTCAAGGTTAAAGCAGTTTGATGTGATCGTCCTGCTGCACTCCTGATGATGTGCAGAAACAATTAGACTGGGCTTTTTTGATAATTCAAGCATTAATTGGGACTATTTAATCAACATTTGGAAAGCATGATCTGCTTTATACCTGTTGTAACTGGATACTGCTCTGTGGAGCTGACCACAAACCAGCGGCCCTCTGGGTCCCAAAGTCATGAAGCAAAACTGATCAAACAAAGACTTCATATTTTCCCTGCAGTGGTTGATGGAACATTTGTAAGATATGAAATGAGATTAAAGACTCGTTGAGACCAAAGTCTTGCAGAGAAAAATCAGTTTATGTCACGACGCGCAGGTGAGCTGAGCCGGAGGTGAGGATCCACATGCAGGGGAAGAAGCAAGCAGGCAAACTGGAATGTCTAAAGAGTCTTTATTTACACAGAGCACACAGGACAATGAAACAATTAACCGATAAGACACAGAACTGAGGCCTAGTCCACACGTAGCCGTTTAAAAAAAAAAAAAAACGAATATCCGCCCCTCCAAAAACTCGCATCCACACACCTCGTTTTTAAAAAAAACTCTGTCCACACATACCCGGATAAATACGTTGTTAAGGACATGCCAGACCTGTAGGTGGCAGTACTTCCCCCGTTCTTAACCTCGTCCTTCCTCTGTGGTCTTCCGCAAGGAGCAGTAATTCCGCTTGCAAAAACAAACAAGCAAAAAGCACTTGGACAATTGATAAAGCGAGCGCAGCTCTGAGGGCATCCATGCTGCCGGCTAGTGTAAACACAGGTCGCACACGTGATGTCAGCAATTTTTCTGTCGCGGAAAGTGACGTTGCGGACCTTCAAACTCCAGTTTCGTCTGTCCACGCGCAGACACCCAAAACGGAGAAAACGCAGATCTTCACTTTTGCCAGAGTTTTTAAAAAGATCTGTTTTCGTGTGAAAAAACTCTGTTTTCGTGTGGATGACAGGCCAAAACGTAGAAAAATATCTACGTTTTGGCAGATCCCCGGCTACGTGTGGACAGGGCCTGAGAGGGTTTAAATACATGAGGGCTGGGAGCTTGGGTGATTGGAAAACGAGAGGCAGGTGGGAGTAATCAGGAGACACAGGACTGCACAGAATGGGGAGACAGGACAGAGTGCGACAGTTGATGATGATGAAATTAGCACCTGGCTCTGGCAATAATTTTCTATATATACCCTAAAATCATCGAAGAATCATTCACTATGACAATCTGGAAAACAGATGCTCCCTTATGTGATTATAATTCCAAATTTGTAAGAAAACGTTGAAGCAACTTTTAAAAAAGACTTCCTCGGGACAAATTCCCAGATAGAACCACCAGCTGGATAATAACATTCCGTGTTCAACTATAAGCTTGTGATTATTTTGGTAGTTTTATTATGCAGCTCTGGGAACGAATCAAGGGCACCCCCAGAAAAGTTTGAAAAGGGTGGCCAGACGGGGCCAAATGTGTTTTTGGCGTGGGACACCAAATTGGTTCTTGTGGTAACTCTAGGAGACTTTAGCCTGTGGCGATCCTTTTTTTAAATAAAAAAATATGTATTCAAAACTTAAGAAACGCAGGCATTTCAGAGAAATACATTTCAGTTATTTGAAATTTTACTACAATATATATATATGTATTTTTATTTAATTCTCCTGTCGCAGCTATTTTCTAGGGGTGGCCATAGCCCCCCTCGGGGGTGCCACTGGAACTAATGTTTTAATTCAGCTTTTTTCCATGTTTTGATGTAATAAATTAAAGTATGAAAGAAAGTTACTGATGGAGAACCATAGTAGAGATCATCCCTTTAGTTGGAGCTACACAGAAAAAGATAAATATTGGAGTGACACCCAGTAATGGGCACTGACCCCTGCGATGTCCTGTTGTGACATAAGAGGAGCAAGGCTAGGGAAGAAGAGGCGGGATGACGGGGGTTGTGGAAAGCAGGGATGTGGCAATAGGAAAGAGCAGGGATGTGGGAATAGGAGCCCCAACTCATGAGAACCAGATGAAGGGCAGACCGGATGGCTCTCTGGGGCTATGAAAGGAAGAAAGAGGGAAGAAATGGGCTCATAAAGCTGTCACAGTCTGCCTGCATCTCTTTATCATGACTCAGTGTGTGCCAGATGCATTGCTTTGAATGCTACTATGAATGTTTCTACCAAAAGCCAACATGTGTACTTTATATCTACAGACGTGTCTAATCAGGGTCAGGGGTCAGAGCTTGACAAGCTGCATCAGGTCCCTCAACCTATGTTGTGCAGCCTACGGGGAAGAATCAATACAAAAATGAAGGAGGAAAACACGTATCCACCAACTTTACAAACATGTGTTTTTTTTCCCTGGAGGTTGCAACTCAATACCACAAAAAAGCTTTTAAACTCTCTATGAACTCACGCAGATCTATGTGCTGCCCTCTTTAAGATGGCGGGAAAGCTGTTCACGTAGAATTAATTCTATGTTCTTATTATTTTTTTTCCAGTGGAGCACGATAAGGAGTTCCTGCCAGTGCGGCGGCATCATCGAGAGTTTAGATTCGATCTGTCACGGATCCCAGAGGGCGAGGCGGTTACTGCCGCCGAGTTTCGCATCTATAAGGACTTCATCCACGAGCGCTATGACAACGAGACTTTTCGCATCAGCATCTACCAGGTGCTGGAGGAGCACAGCGACAGGTGAGGAACAGTAACCATTTTACCTGATTAAATGACTTCAATCAAGACCAGCAGGTTTTGGTGATGAGGACTTTGGATTAAAGTGAAATTACTCCCGATGAACAAAGAATTTTTCCACTCAGAATGAAGTGACTCTAATGATGTTTCGATCTGATGTCTTTCTTTGACTTTGCTGTGTCTGAGGAAACGTCATCAGAGAAATGATGAAAAAAGGATGAAATAAAACTAAACAGCTTTATATTAACTGACAGAAAAACCATGGAGCTATTTTTTAAAATACACTTCTTTGACTCTTGCAGAACTGCTGGAACAATTATAAAACAACCAGGCTTCTTCAGAGGTCGGAATAAACTGAACTTTTAGCTTCATGCTGTCAAAATCCAGATTTCAGTACACATGTGTAATTTAGAAGTTTTGATCATTTGGCGTTTTCTTCCAGATCAGACAAAACTAATCAAGGAGGAACATCATTTACCTGTAGATGTTTGAAAATCAGCATTTAAATCCTTGTGGTTCATCTGGACCACAAGGTGCATGACTCAGATAGAAACCAAGTCCCTGGTCTGTCCTTAAGGTTCAGTTGTCTGCGGGGAACAACACAATCATTTATTCCTCTGCCGGGGACATGCCGGGGACATGAATGGACCAGGGCTCTGTGACACACTATCTGCTCAGTCAGAAAATGGGTCGGGATACACGAACGGCTGCATAAAGAACAAGGGATTTTAGTTTGAAACTGTGAGGGATTAGAAAACCCAAAGTTCACTTGGATATGCACTATTTCCTCACTCATTTCCACACAGTTTTCTTTTGTTTTCTCACAGCTGTGAGAAAACACAGCTCTCATTTTGTCTTTCTGGTTCGCCCTCAGAATTCCAGTGAGTGATGGACTGTGTGCAGCATATGAAAGGACCGCTCGTTTATAAAGCTATTATTGTCAATTAAGAAAATGAAGTGCTCCCCTGGGCCTCACCATCTGGTGCCCTCCCTACTTGCCTCTCATCACTCTCTTTGTTTCACTTCGTCACACTCCTCTGGTTCTCTCTCCCTCCTGTCTATGGCTCTGTGCTCCAGTCTCGATAACTGTCTTTTTTGTTGCATGCATGTTCTAACTAGGAATATGTTTTCCCTGCAGGGAGTCAGACCTCTTTCTGCTGGACTCCAGAGTTATCTGGGCAGCAGAGGAGGGCTGGTTGGTGTTCGACGTGACAGCGACCAGTAATCATTGGGTCCTGAACCCTGGCAGAAACCTGGGTCTGCAGCTGGCTCTGGAGAGCACAAATGGTAAGGGGGCATTCTTGCCAGTAAATTCCCTCATGTCACAAAACACACACACACACACACACACACACACACACACACACACACACACACACACACACACACACACACACACACACACACACACACACACACACACACACACACACATTTTAGATTTTGTGTTATGCTTAATGATGTTGAATTAATTTGCAGTATACTCATGTTTATTTGTCTTCATTTATGCAACCAGAATTAGGCTAAGACTTATTCTGCAATAAAATACAACACACATATAAAGGAGAAAACCCTAAAATAGGACAAAAAATGTATATATATATATATATATATATATATATATATATATATATATATATATATATATATATATATATATATATACATGTCAGAAATCATAAAAGAAACATTTATCTAAATAGTAATTTTATTTATTTATTTTTATTTATTTTACTTATATTTTTCTTCCCAGGAGGATAAACTGCTTGAGATGTGGCATCTTGTTTTCGAGCAGGTCCTCCTACCATACAACAAGTAAAGAATAAGAAGGCAACGTCGATAAACCATAACAAACTAAGAGAGAGGGGAAAAAATAATAATAACACCCGCTGTGACTTACCCCATGTATCTCTAGGCATAATTTTATTTATAAAACAATAATGCACATGCATCCAGTTAATAATAGTTGCCAGTCAGTATAAAATATGAAACAAATAAAATAAATCAAGGCGAAGACCTCTTCACATTTCCTTCCCATGAAATCCTCCTGACCTAAAGCACAATAAACTTGCATTTGTTATTATATTGTTATTCAAATGTTCTTGTAAACACCTAAAACAACACAAGCGCTGCTGGATTCTGCATGTTTGGACAGAACTATGAATATAATTCAATCAAAGTAATGACCACAAAGTACATCGTAAAATGTGTTTGGAATAAGTATTTCTAAACAGTTCCATCTGGATTAGAATCTAAACAAACCCAAATGCTGCATTTCCCACAGAGCAGTAAAAAAAAAACACGAGAGCTGGCATTAAAACACTCGAGTCTGCAACCGAGCTGCTATGAAACCAATGAAATCAGGTAATTTGTTCTCTGATGAGAAACACCAAACCCTGTTTCTCACCACCACTATCCTCATCTGACCTACCCTCAGCATCATTTAGCAGGTATGCAGTAAATACGCTGCACTATCTCAAAAGGCACAAACGTTTGTTGGTGATCAACTTTATCAGCAAAACACCAGGCAGTACAAGCGTGTTTCACAGGATGGCAGGATGTTACATGTTGGTGAGGGAAACAGATGCTGCTTTCAGGCTACGTTGTAGATGTTTGTCAGTGTGTGATTGTAGGTTTGGAGCTTTATGGAGTAGCATGTTCAGACAAGCTTAAGGGACAGCCTGTCACCAGACATGATGAAGGAGAAAGGGTGAAGGGGGAAAAGGATGAGGATTTACTAAAATAAAGCTCATTTTTAAAAGTTAAGTTGGGAAAAGTGATTTTTGTTGCCCTTCTCTGCCCTCTTGATGCTTTATTCCTCTGACCTGTTGTGTTTTCTCTCCCCCACCCTTCAGGAGAGAGTATCAGTCTTCGTGTGGCAGGGCTGATTGGTCGCAGTGGACCTCAGAATAAACAGCCCTTCATGGTGGCCTTCTTCAAAGCAACGGAGGTGCACCTGCGAAGCATCCGCTCTGCGTTGGGAGGATCCAAACAACGAAACCCCAGCCAATCCAAAGGGGCAAAGAGCCAAGTGACACTCCGAATGGCTAACATCGCCGGTAAACACATTGTTGTCAGTCTGCCTTTGGTTTTCTCACTGAGGCACTCAGTTGAGCAACATTCACTATCTGATTCCTCTGCACACAAATATCCAAGTATTACACTTCAGATGGCAATGAAACATTTAACGTATATTGCAGGCCTTTGTCCAGGAGGTGTGAGAAAGCTGTGTTTATGTGAAACATTAGACTGTACAGCTTCAAATATCCATCTGCTGTCTTTGTTTATTTACTCAAGCATTACACAGCATTTGGGGCCAAGCTCCCTGCATGAAGGTAAGGCACCGCAGGCTTTTATGGCAGAGCACATCTGTGGCGTGCTGTGGGGCAACCGGGGTCCAGACACATGGGCCAAAATGGGACTGTTTGGAACTGTGGATAGCAGTGGTCTTTAGCTTCATGATGAGAACCAGTCCCTCATAATCACTTCCAATGTGAACTCCTTTCAAGCACTAATGTACCACAGAGCCTCCATGGTCACCAGAGGAGCAGAAAGATACTGCTGGATAGAAAACAGATATGTCTTTTTTTTTTTGCACTTGGTAAAAAGAAAGAAGGAATGCTGAAATGAGTCTTCAGTTATGAATTTTACCAAACTCTATATTATTGTACAGATGTGTCTCAGACACTCAAATCCCAACAATGCTACGGTTTGTTTGAAATCCTCACTAAAATGTGGAAGTGATTTTCTTCAACCAATAATTATTGTTAATTTCTTTTTGGATAACAGTGGCTTGAAGGTTAATTCTTCATCATAGTGTAATGGTTTACCTGCCCTAAAACATTGTTTTCTCTCTGTTCCCCAGAAAACAGCAGTTCTGATCAGATGCAGGCGTGTAAGAAGCATGAGCTTTACGTCAGTTTCAAAGACTTGAAATGGCAGGTACAGAACCACTTCATTAAAGACACTTCTTCTTTCACAAGGAATGAATACAATGTTTTGTAATATCAAAAAGATGAGAAAAATGCCACCAAAAGATACTTTGGACAAACAATGCATCAAGTATCTGGAAAAAGGCCATTTTCACCTGATACTTGGTACTTTTTCATTTACAAGCAGAGGTATGAGTCTGCAATATGGAACATTTTAAATAAAAAGCTATATTGTTAAACAAATGATACCTTCAAGGGGCGTTTAGAGGGGTGCAGAATGAATGTCCTTTAAAAGCTACATTTAAAAAAATAATAATCAAATTTTAATTTTGTCTGCACAACGCTGGGCTTATGTTTACATCTACCAGCCTCTAGGGGGAACTGTTGCACTGAAAGGTACACTCAGCAAGGCGAGGCTAGGACTGTGTAAAATGGCGGCCCTGTCAAGTCAAGCAGCTGATTCTGAGCCCAGAAGATGTTCTAATGTTAAATACTATTGTAAAGGAAACTTATTAGTAGAAATGAGCCCTTACCCTGTACGATATGCCACTGGACATGGTGCTGGCTGGTCCCATAACGTTTCAGCAGTGAACCAACACCCCAAAGGCTGGAAAATGTGTTCTGTTGTTGCAATACCACCTCTCAACACCAGATGTCACCAGAGTGTCCGTGCTCCATATTCAAATTTTAAGATGTTTTCTTGATGCATAAGAATGTCCCAAAGTGGACACCATAGCTCAGGTCTCTAAGTGACAGGGTGCATGTCAGTTTGAAGGCGCCTGGCCTCGCAAGACATTGCCTAGCGAGGCCAGGTGCTTTGCTTTTGAGAATACTGTCCTTCCTTGGTCAAAGAAAACAACTAAATGGAACAGACTTGCATCACGTGACCGCAGCTTCTGTGGCAGTCATGTGACACGGGAGATAACGTTATATTTTATACGTAGAAGTTTCAATATAATATATAATGAGCCTTTCACTTTAAAAATTGTGTATATATTTGTTAAATTAAATATGTAAGCGGGTTACTATACCTGCTAACCACCGAAGCAGCAGCTACTAGCATCTAACCCACCATAGCTAACTTCTTTTGATCTTAAGAAAATATTTCAGATATCAGCCCAATAGCTACAATTAGTTGACTTACATTTAAACTTGAAATTTGCCCCCGAAGTAGCTGCCGGCTTCTCTTCCATCCTTTTGAAAATACTGCGGTGTATTCTGGGAAATGTTTGACCAAGGCTAGGCTACAAGACACCTTCCGTGTATCCTTGCTCAGCTAGCTAAACGGCTAACAAACGGAGAACAGATGCCTTGGTAGAACATGAACATTGGAACACGCCTTGGCGGTTCCTGATGATGTATCTCCTAGGCAACCGGGAAGGGACCAAGTCATTAAGGCAAGCTTCCTTGGCAAGAGTCATGACTGGGCCGTCTCAGTGTGAAAACTCGTTTACATGAACGATGAAAATAGTAACCATCATTTTGCAGACATGCTAAAGTGTAAGCTACGTGGGTTAGCACTAAAGGTTCCTATTGAGTGAATTTATACTAACCAACCAGTCAGATGAAATACCTTGTCTGCCCCATCCACCCACAGGACTGGATCATTGCTCCAGATGGATATGCAGCATATTACTGCGAAGGAGAGTGCGCCTTCCCTCTGAACTCCTACATGAATGCCACAAACCATGCCATTATGCAAACACTTGTGAGTAACCACAAAACCAAAGAATAAAATGCAAAAGATTTGTTTAGACTTTATTAATCTCGCCAGGTGATAAAACATTTGATAAATGCAGATTATATTTTTACTCTGTGGTTTCAGGTCACAACATTCTGTGTTTAATAAGCCTGAAAGTTTCCAGTGTGATCAGTCTTATTTATTTATTTTTTTATTGTCACACGACACCTAACAAATGCCACACATTTACGGTGATCTATAAAACAAAGTGAATTGCTAAAATATAACTTTAATATCTGATTTTCCTTTGATTTCCAGGTTAATTTCATCAATCCCAAAACGGTTCCTAAACCCTGCTGTGTCCCCACACAGCTCAACGCCATCTCCGTGCTCTACTACGATGACAGCTCCAACGTAATCCTCAAGAAATACCGCAACATGGTGGTCAGAGCTTGTGGCTGCCACTAGGACCGTCAGCGCCCTCACCAGAACACGTACTGTACATACAGATGGGGATGGGGGGTGCACTGTGTCAAAAAGCTGCAAAAACACACCGCACAGAGTGGTTTGTGCATCTCGTGTTGATGATGTGTGACCAAACAGGACTTCGACGAACTTAAAGGGACAGTTCACCTCAACATTAAAGGCTGGATTGTATGCTGAAAAAAAGAATGTAATAAACACAAATACAACCAAATTATCTCTGTTAACAGCTGTACATACTGGCTTTATACAAATATCCTGATAGATTTTGTAATAAATGTCACAAACTGGCATGTAGTAACATATCTGCATGTTTATAGTTCCTATCAGTAATGCTTTTATTTATTTTACTTCTGATTATTTCCTCTGTGTGCGTGTGTGTATATATATATATATATATATATATATATATATATATATATATATATATATATATATATATACATATATATATATACATATATATATATATATATGTATATATACATATATATATATTAGATTAGTAGCCATTTTGTGCATATTGCAAAAAAATTGCACATTTTAGTATGTGCAGGTATTTTTATGTATAATATGATGACATTTCTATTATTTTCTTCCTGAATCATCTAGTAATTTTCCTCAACCTTTTCAGATATCTTTATAAAGCCAAATGTTCACTTGTTGAATACTTTTTTATTTTTCACACGTTTGCAAAGTGAACACCCTCAAACACAGTAAATCTGTATATGTTTGATGGATCTTGATGATAAGTGCTCCAAAACTCCCAGTTGCAAATGGTTGGAGGCTACATATCCATGGGATTTACATTTATTTGTAAAGTGAACTTTCTCTTTAAGACCTCTCATGCACACATACTCATGTTTGTGCTTTCTACTGTGTGACCAAGATACTTCAACTTGATTGTACTGAATAATCATCCACAGTTGCTTATATTCATGCTTAGGATCAACATTATAGTTTATTATGGTACTTTGCCAAAGTTTTAAATCACTTCTAATTTCTTTGTGGCCTGGGTTAACAGTTCTTCTGTTTTTATACAGTTTTTATAAGGTTTTCTGTGGACTTTGGCTGCTTTTTCTGTTTCAGTCTTTGTTTCTAACTATGGCAACACGTTAAACAGACAACAGGTGGAGAAGTTTTCAGGAAACATGTCTGAAAAGCACCTTGTTGACATTCTGATGATTTATGTTTCTAAAGGTAGGATTGAAATGATTTTTTTGTCAGCTAAATCGTCAACTCTGGCTCGTTTTTCATGTCTGAATAATTTTTAGTTACGTTCTAATTTGGTTGTCTAAATAAATAAAAACAGTCCCCGTACAGGAGTAGGCAACCCTGGTCCTGTTGGCTTTCCAAAATCTTTGTTGATCCTGCTGTTGATAGGGTCTTCTCCCTTTCTGGTCAGCTCATTCAGAAGAACGAATAAATGAATGCAAGTCAAAGTGGCTAAAAGAGCTATTTTCTAATCCGCTTTACCTTAGACCCTGGATCGCACATATATTGTACTGCAATTTAAATGAAACGTAATGATGGGTGTTTCGACCACGCCAGTCACGTACTTTGAGATTTATCAGCTTGTAAAAGTTTGTGATTAGCATGACTACATCGGCACATCGCATATTTGACGTCACCACATAATCTCCTCTCTCCTAGCGTAGCTGCTACTCACCACATGGCCAGCTTTAAGGTGGTTCTTTCCTCCTGAAAGAAGGATTTGAAGTTTGCAGAACTTACAGCCATTTTCCCTCAGTTTTCTCCGTGTCTGGCTCGATGACGTCCCTTTCGTGAAGCGCATTTGTAGTTCTGGACTTATTTTCACACAAAACCTAAAATAGCATTTCCCCTCTGTTCGAAAATAAGTTTGTTCTTGGTATCAAAATGCATAGTTAAAATTCACGGACATCACATATGAAATCCATAGCAAGTAACAAGTGGAATTAGAAAATAGCGGTTTTAGCCTCTATGACTTGCATTTGTTTTTTCGTTCTTTCGGGCACCCATGGTCCGGAAGTAGATGGGTGTGACTTGGGCTCCCTATTACCTGGATCAGGTGTGTTCAGCCAATTAGAAGTTGCAAGTTCATGCATGGCTGGAAAACATGCAGGACTGCGCCTCTCTAGGACCAGGGTTGCCTACTCCTGCCTTAAAATGTTGTGGTACCATCATGAAAAAAGTGAAAAAGCTGCTAAAGCCCTCCCAAATATCTTTATTAAGACTTTAGAAAGCCAGGAGAAATACTAATCATCCCAACATCACAAGTAAGCATGGAACATTAAGAGATGACTCAAGACTTTTGCACAGTACTGTAGTTATATATGTATGGCGATAAGGCTGAGAGAGGAGGAAACACTCTGTATTCCTTCCATGTATAAACTGTGTACATATTTTTATTTTAAAAGAAACAAGTGTATTTATTTCCTTGAATGTCACTCACTTGGGTTTGTTTATTTTGTTTTGCTGTATGAATGTTGCCTGGTTTCTCTTTTAGAAACTGACAGGAGTGTTGCATCATACACTTTTTAGAACAACAAACAGCTGTACGAAGCATCTCGTTTTGCGTGCTCGACATTTTCAGGTTTGTACTTCTCTGCTGTAATACAATCTGTCTTTTTTTTTAAAAAAGGTCTATTTATTGAGAGCAAGCTAAGCTGTTCAACAGCGTGCTCAGAATTCTCAGCCGCGTCTCACAGCTGAACGGTTACAACAATAAACTAAGAGTTAAACAACAAAACTGCTCCACAGTGTTTTACTGAATTTGAACGAAAAGCAGAACTTTGGTGTCAGGTTGGTGGAATGCTTGTGCCGGAGATGCAGTTCCTTGCACGACCCTGGATGAACATTTGACTTGGTTCCTTCACCGACTGACCTGAGACTTGTGTCTGCTGTTCCCATCATCACACTGAAATGTTGCTGTCTGTATCTGCAGCTCATCTTTTTCAGGTGGATGTGGAATATGAATGAAGACATGATTGCAGAGCCAGTGAGGTCATGTGTAAGCAAATGTGTGCTAGAATTAAAACCGCATCAATGGTGACATCATGAAGAGCTGATCGTTAACTGGGAACAGAATGCAGGTAGCTTGTGTTTGGGTACTTGGATCACACGAGACAAGTGCAGATTCTGCTAAATAAGCTGCTATTTTATCCAATGCTTTGGCTTTTTTGGTATCAATGCAAGGTACTCATATGCTTTCAGTAAGAATTTATTGCTAAAAATGTAAGAAACAGCTCCAAGGACTCTTGTAGGGGTGTATTTCAGTCATTCAGTTGGCAGAGAACTTTTCAGTAAGACTATGAGGGCCTCAAAGTGGAAAACAGGAGCTGAAAGTTAGGATTTATCATCAGTATTTACACTTTGCAGTTCTGACATCTAAAGAGACACTAGAAGAGAGGGTCAAAGGTCTTTGGTTTAGGGTTCTTCAGATTGCATTGCTGCTCTTCTTTTAATGCCGCTATAAATTCAGCCTTTCTCAGGATCCCATGATCACCTTTACCTATTCATTTTTGTCTTCCTTCACATTTTTCAATTAATAAAAAAATTCCCCATTTTTTATGACAATAGATTTTTTTTAAGTGTCCTTGAGAGGGGCTGGACACTATCACTCTAGAGTTGCCCCCACTGAGAGGCGCCGAGCAGGAGTTGGCATACTGGTTGCCCCCTATCTTGGTGCCTTTACGTTGGGGTTTACCTCGCCTACATGTGGGGGGACAGGTCCTGACTGTGGTCTGTGCTTATGCATCAAACTACAGTTCAGACTACCCGTCCTTTTTAGAGTCCTTTGGTGGGGTGCTGGAGAGCGCTCCTTCCAGTGACTCCCTCGTAATCCTGGGGGACAAATGGCATCCTTCAAGGGTGTGCATAACCCAGTAAAGCAGTACGTGAAAGGCAAGCCCCAACTTTGGGGATTAAAAATCCTGGCCCACTGCTCATCCTCCGGTATTCTCCACGACTTTGTTGTTCATCAAGTTGGCATTGGGAAGAAGACCTTAACCTGAGATTGGAGGTGATATTGTGGTATAACTTAGTGAAACACTCCCAGCTGGGAAAAAGAACAAAGTCTTTGCTGATAACTTCTTCTCTTCAGCCCTACTTCTACTCACCCTTCTTCAGTGACAGATCCACTTTGTAGAAACACTTTGTGGAAATCGCTTAGCAGGTTGTTAGCTTGAAGATGAGACAAGTTTTGCCCATCTTTTGATGCCAGAGTGGATAAAGAGGACAGCATGGTTGTTGTCAAGTGGTATGACAACAAGTCCGTTACCCTGATCTCATTCTTTTGTGCAAATGGGACAAACAAATGACTGAAACAGTCTTTTGAGCTTTCACAGCTGCCATAGTTCCCTTTTGGCGCATACACCGAACATCAGGGACGAGTCTGCAACAATACATAAAGATACAGATCTGGTTAATGGCTGGAGATGGGATTCTTGCCCTCCAACTTGTGTGGATGTGTGCAGTTACACACACACACACACACACACACACACACACACACACACACACACACACACACACACACACACACACACACACACATATATATGTGGTTTTATTATTGCCTTCATCTAAAAATATCTGGTTCATGTAGATCATCCAAAATCAGGGCAACCTGACTAGTGGCGTTGATTCTTCTTCATTTTTGTTTGTTAGCTTCACTTCTGACAAAAATTTTAAAACATTATAATTTATTGAGCAACACTAAGAAGAACATTTTAAAGCTGGCCTTACACAAAGTAAGGACATTAGTGTTAATTTGATATGATCAAGTTTGGTTTAAGGGGGTCTAGATTATTGTTCTGACATTTTTACGTTTGATAAAACGTGTTTGTTATCATAAGGAATGACTGAGAAATCTGCTTATTTGATGTATAAAAAAGGATGTTTACATGCCTTAACTGTGGGGTATAGTGAGATGAGATCTGTTAAGGATTCAGGACCACTATGGCACCTCTTATTGGAGCTGCCATAGTGGTCGGCCGTCATCTTCAATAGGTCTCCCTTCCCCTGCTTACCAAACTAAAAAACACATTTTAACATGCTTTTTCACAAAATCAGACACATGGTGTGGCAAATAAAATATAAAATTATTAAACAAACTACATTAAAATAAACTAAAATATAAAATCCCATCAGGTCGAAAAATAAATAGTAAGTGATCTATTTTCAACACAGATCACTCGTTGCTGGTTGCAACAAATCACCTGTAGTTGCTCACTGCATTGACTTTGGAGAGTGAGGAGACCCGTGCAATATGGCGGTGACATTGTTACGCCCTCTAGCGCCCAATGCGGCGTCTTACTACTTCTTCATTACAGTGTTTTTTTTTCTTTTCTTTTTTTTAAAAAACTTTATTGAACAAGGTGAAAGTATACAATCAAATTGCATACAAAATTGAACAAAGAAGATGAAACATATGCCAGGGGGTGCACTACAGAAATGTTACACACATCCAAATAACTTATAGGTGGTGCAAATAGTTATAGTTTTTAAAGCTTTTTTGTTTAGTGATCCACTAATCAATTTTATGTAAGATAGAGTGTCACTATAATAGTGCTCTTCATTACAGTGTTCAGGAACAGTAGTTGCACGTGAGATGATGCTCCCTGCGGGAGGATAGCTGCATTTTTTAATTAGCTGTTTTGCCGTTTGAGATTCTCTCTCTCTCTCTCTCTCTCTCTCTCTCTCTCTCTCTCTCTCTCTCTCTCTCTCTCTCTCTCTCTCTCTCGTTTTTTGAAAGAGCGAGCGTTTCATTCTCAAAATAAATTAAACTGAATTTCCTGTCTGGACAAGTAAAGCTCGTGCTCTTCTCTTTTCACCTTTTTGATAATAAATGGTTCAGGAGGATTTTAAATATAACCCCGTGCATTTCCTCCTACACGTATTTGTGTGTTTCACACATTTGGACAGTTTTGATCCGGCCTGTAGCTGATAACTCTGAAGCAATTTACTTAGAAATGATTAACCATCCTTTCAGCGCCCAGTAGGGAAACCGAAAGTTGGTTTCAGTAAAGCTTTCGCTTTCGCTTCTAAGAGCGCATAAACCCTTACTTCTGCATTTAAGTTTGCGATGATCTCAGTAGGAGTTATTTCTCACACAAACCTTATTGGATGAGTTTTGAACCTACTGATTTAAGCGTGATGCTAAGCTGAAACGTCGATCGGTGGCCCAAAATAAACAGTTTTGCGTTTGTGAAGCGGATTAAAAGCGCTCGGAACTGAAACGCGCAGCATGTGCTGAAGATGGAAGAAGGAGCCAAGTTGCACCTGAAAGAGTGGCTGGTGGCTCAGATAGAGAGCGACAGCTATGACGGCCTGTGCTGGGAGGACGAGGACAAGACGATGTTCAGGATTCCCTGGAAACACGCAGCTAAGAAGGACTACAAACAGACGGAGGATGCGGCTCTGTTCAAGGTCACGCTTCACACAGAAAGTTGCAGGGAAAGTTTGTGCTCTGACAGGAAAGCTCCAGGTGCGCCACTGGGGGCCGTCTAATACCTTATTTAAGTTTAAAGAAGCAAAGGATCAAGTGTCCAGTTTCAGTTAAAAGGGGATTTTATAAAATCTGATTTGAATACAAACTGAGCACTAGTTGTTTCCACCCAGGGTTTAAATTAATAAGTCTGGAGATCACATATGGGGCACCGATTGTTCAACAATACAGTTAAAACATGATTGACGGTCCTGATAGAGTCTAGGCTAAGTTTTCACCACATTAATTTAGGACTGTACAAAGTTATGTCCTATGCTGAAACATACATACATATAAAACAATGTATTCAATCAAATATAAGAATATAACATTGAAGTCATATTTTAAACATCTAATTAAGTGTGTGAAGCAATTGGGATGAGAATCAGCTCCTCTACATCCGAGACCATGGTCTTGATTCAGAAAAGGGCAGAATGCTTCTCCAGGTCAGGTACAAGGACCTGCCTCAAGTGGAGGAGTTTAAGGGGTCTTGTTCACGAGTGAGGGAAAGATGGAGCATGAGATCGACAGGCGGATTGGTGCTGCATCTGCAGAGAACTGAGCCGGAAGGCAAAGCTCTCGATTTACTGGTCGATCTACGATCCTATACCTCAACTTGTCAGGACGCGCTGGTGAGTGGAGCGGAGGTAAGGATCCAAACGCTGGGGAGAAAGCAGGCAGGCAGACAAACTAGAAAACTCAAAAGGTGTTTAATGATAACTGGACACAGGACATGGGAACAATGAGGCAACAAGAGACACAGAACTGGAGGGGTTTAAATACAGGAAGGTTGGGAGCTTGGGTGATTGGGAAACGAGAGGCAGGTGGGAGCAATCAACAGAGACACAGTCTGAACCAAATGGGGAGACAGGGCAGGGTGTGACAGTACCCCCCCCCCCCCCCCCCCCTCAAAGGGCGGCTTCCAGACGAACACAGGAACACAGAGCAGGGCGGGAGGAGGGGGACCCGGAGGGAGGGCCAAGAGGGACCGAGGGGCCGATGGAGAGGAGGCAGGGACCAGCAGAGTCCGAGGGCCTGCGTCTAGGGCAGAGGAAGCGACGACGACGGGCTCTTGGGGGCCTGCGTCTGTGGCAGAGGAGGCGACGACAACGGGCTCTTGGGGGCCTGCGTCTGTGGCAGAGGAGGCAGCGACGACGGGCTCTTGGGGGTCTGCGTCTGTGGCAGAGGAGGCGGCGACGGGCTCTTGGGGGCCTGCGTCTGTGGCAGAGGAGGAGGTGACGACGGGCTCTTGGGGGCCTGCGTCTGCGGCAGAGGAGGAGGTGATGATGGGCTCTTGGGGGACTGCGTCTGCGGCAGAGGAGGAGACGACGACGGGCGCTTGGGGGCCAGCGTCTGCGGCAGAGGAGGAGGCGAGGACAGGACACAGGAGACTGAAACACATGGGGCACTGGAGACTCTTGAGAGGACGTAGACACTTGAGACTGGAACTCTTGAGAGGAGGGGAAGATGTCATCCTCTTGGACTGGAGAGAGCGCCGACCTCTGGACTGGAGAGAGCGTCAACCTCTGGACTGGAGAGAGTGTCGACCTCTGGACTGGAGAGAGCGTCGACCTTCGGAGTGGATGAGTCGACCTCGAGACTGGAGGTGTCGACTTCTGGCCCAGAGGCGTCGACCTCTGGCCTGGGGGGCGTCGAATTCTGGCCCGGGGGCGTCGACTTCTGGCCTGGGAGCATCGACTTCTGGCCCGGGGGCGTCAACCTCCATCGACTTCTGGTCCGTCGGCTCCTGGACTGCCGGCTTCTGGACCGCCGGCTTCTGTTGCTGCAGACGGGACCGCTTGGATAGGCTGGACCGGACGCGGTGCCACCTCCGGGCCCACCGCCGGAACTGGATGTGGTGCGACCTCCGGGACCACCGCTGGAACTGGCGCTGACTGGACTGGTGGCGCGGGACCTGGTGGAGCCAGTAACTGGAAAAGCAGGGAGGATAGATTGTCCAACTGGAACTCCTGGAGACTGAGGATCTGATGGAGTCGGTCCACCTCAGCTCGGAGACCGGCGAGCTCTGCTGGGTGGACTGCAGGCTTGCTCCTCTGGTTCTGAGATGAGGGAGCCGCTGGCTGGACCGGAGGCGGGGCCGCTGGCTGGATAGAAACCCTCCCCTGGAGATACGGGTAGGACAGGGTGTCCAGCTGGAACTCCCGGAGGCTGACGAGCTGACGGATCCGGCCAAGCTCCACCTGGAGACCGGCGAGCTCTGTCAGCTGGGCTGTAGGCGTGGTTCCTCCACCTGCAGGTGACAGAGGCGCTGATTGGACTGGAGACGCGACAGCTGATTCGACTGGGGGCGGGTCCAAGCCGGTGCGCCAAGCCGGTGCGCCGAGCCGGGGCAGCTGCGAGCCCGCGGCTCCGTCCGGGGACAAGGGGTGACGGTGGAGCCCGGCATCCTTCCAAACGCCATGGGCCAACTCCGGGGGAGCACACAGCCAGTCTGGTGCCCACATAGCAGGAGTGGTCCGTCTGCACCCGTCCAACTCTCCTTCCGGCTTCCGGAGGGTGGGTGGAGAGGATCGCCGAGAGGAGAGGATCGCCGAAGCCCGGGCTCAGCGGCGGAGTCTGCGGTGAGGCAATGCCGGAGGAAGAGGAGCCGGCCGGTGGTCTGCAGGTAAAAACTGAGGCAAGCACTCCCAAGGGAGAACCTCCCCGCTGGATCCTTTACTGGGTTGCCTCATTCAGTCAGGACACGCTGGTGAGTGGAGCGGAGGTAAGGATCCAAACGCTGGGGAGGAAGCAGGCAGGCAGACAAACTAGAAAACTCAAAAGGTGTTTAATGATAACCGGACACAGGACATGGGAACAATGAGGCAACAAGAGACACAGAACTGGAGGGGTTTAAATACAGGAGGGCTGGGAGCTTGGGTGATTGGGAAACGAGAGGCAGGTGGGAGCAATCAACAGCGACACAGGCTGAACCAAATGGGGAGACAGGACAGGGTGTGACACAACTATGGTCACGAGCGTCGAGTAGTGACCAAAAGAACGAGATTGCGGATACAAGCTGACAAAATGAGTTTTCTCCCCAGGGTGTCTGGGCTCTATTTCGTCTAGTTTTAGCCCTTAAGCTAGCTGCTATTGGAAGGGTGATCTCAGCATCAGCCAATCATAAAGAGCTTAAATGTACGCCCAACAATGTTGGGCACCCCGTGGGTATATAAGTGGAGCGACTCCACTGTTCACCTCTGCTATTTCTTCAAGCCAAGCTTAAGAGCTATCTTTAAAGAGCATTATCCATCCAAGAGCAAATTATCCTACTCACAACCATGTCCAGCGACGTCAGGACCTGCCCGGCCTGCCAGACGGGCTTCATCTCCAGCGGTGACCTTCACACCAAATGTGAGGTCTGTCTCATGGCTCATCATGCTGGCCTGGCCTTGACCCCTCAGGCCTTGTGCCCGTTTTGTACAGCTCTGCCCTGGCACAGCTCACTGATCGCGCACACCAGTGTGCCTTCCAGACCGGCGCTGCAGGAAATAACTTTGCCCTTTTTGCCTTTGGCATCTCCAAAATGGTGGAAGAGCTCGACGCTCCTGACGGGTCAAAAAACATCATTAGCACGACCGCTGATGCCATTCTCGACCTGTGCGCTGCTGTACTCACCGGTTCTGCTCGCATTGCTGCCTGGCAGACCCTTCTCCAGTGGGCCTTGTGGCGCAAGGCCCTGCCCTCCATTCCTGAACACCTGCACAGAGAAATGCTGGAAGGCCCCATCACCTCTGATGTTTTGTTTGGTCCCCATCTTAGGATCGTCTTCGAGAGAGCTCAAAAGACAGCTGAACTGTCAGCCACGGTGTGAGACCTGGACCGTCCCCGGTCCACCTCTCACTCCGGCTGCTCCTCCAGAGGATGGGACGAACACCAGGGCCAGCGGGGAAATTTCAGACGCCCAGCTGCACTGCCCGCCCCTCTGAGCCGACCTCCCGCTGAGGTGGAGCCAAAGCAGGACCAGAAATCTGACAACCAACGGTTCTGAAAGAACCAGCAGACGTCATCCTGGCCTTCTCAGTCACAAGAACTTTGCCGAAAGCAACCAAGAAAATGACTCGTTCGGGGGAATGTGTGTGTTATTTACGGTATTTTTTTTAAATGCGTTACATTTTCAGACAGCTAAATAAACCCTGTATATCAGGAAAATATTGTCCTCAGTTTGTGTCTAAATTTTGCATAAAATGTGTAATTTTGTAATTATGTTGTTAATTTGTTTACATTTTCCCCTTTAGTGTTTTAAAATAGCAATATTTGCCCATAACTTCTTATTTTTTGTCTGTTTGATGTCATCATTTAAAAAATATTAGATCAGATGTTCCTCAGTACTCAAGTAGCCTTCTAATCAGATACTTTTTTTTACCCTTACTTGAGTAATAAACCCTATATCAGGAAAATATTGTCCTCAGTTTGTGTCCTTCCAGTGAGCTTTGCAGATTTGGGAAAATGTCATCAGGCAGTAATCATTGTTAAATTCATAATTATTCTTGGAGAGAGACCAACTTTTATCTACCCCTGGGAGCCCCATAATGCATAGCGTCATTTCAATATGGGGGTGTCCGCGACACGGTTTATATGCAGGTAGCGGGCGATTCGGCTGCTTTATTTAGCGACTCGTTGCATTCTCCCTCAACCCAAATCCTCGGCTCACACATTTTAGCTAAAACGCTAATGTTAACTTGCCTTGCGTTGACTGTAGAGTTGTGGGTGATGGTCATGCAGATGTGTCATGAGATTTGAAGCGTTGCTGCCTTTCACAGAAACTTTTTCTGCACGTGCTGCAAACAGGATTGCCGTCTTCTATCAACTGTCCCTCGGCATTCTTCAAATATCCAAAAAAATGCCCATACTTTCCACTTTGCCTTCTTTGAGGGATAAAAAATGTCCTGAGTGCTGCCGTCTCCTCCTTTGGCCGTTATTTCAGCTTTAGCTTCAAGAAAGTTTTGGTTGTAAACAACAAATATGTAGCATCAAGTATAAGTTAATAAAGCTAAACTTAAATATTTAGAATCAAAACTAATTCATATTTAAAAGTTAAAATCTAAATCTTAATGTGGTGGTTCCATTCTAAACTCTTAACCAACAACCTTAAAGCTGCACAAGCCTTTCAAAATAAAAGTGGAGGAAAATAACCCCCTAAATGACCGTGAATCTCTTTAACTCTCCACCATTCAGCAATGCTCTCCTCTCGATTTTCAGACTTCACCGTTATACTACCAGAGAGACTTGGAGATGTTATAGGGGATCTGTTAGCCCTGCTTTTATTTTGGTTGGCTGGCTTCTCCTGTTTTACATTAGTCTACATTTGAATGTTAAATATGTAATATAGTTCAAAATAGTCACATCCTTTCAACATAAATAGCACAACATTGTTATTATTTTAATCACTGTGTTATGATGTTAGTTTGAACTTTGTTTCAACCTTTTTTCTGGGGTCAACAGATGGCCTTAAAATACGATTACATGCAAATAATGGTTTTAGACTGGTGATAGTTTCACTTGAAACAATTTGCATTCAAAAGCTGGTAGTTTTAGGAGCAATGCGATGTGCAGAAGAGATGATCTGACCAAACAGACTGAATATCCTGAGGAGTAGAAAGATCAAGTAAAAACCTGGAACCACCTACAAAGAGTCATGGTATAAATACAGAAACCAATCCAACCAAGACCAATCAGAATCAGAATCAGAAGTTTTTTATTGCCATATGTGTGCCAAGTCACAACATTAGGAAATGTCTGCGGTATTTCAAACAAATTCAAATAGAATTTTGTCTTTATAATAGCAAAAAGGTAAAGACATTTGTGATGTAAAAACCAGATAATGCATTTACAAATGTTTTTTTAAATGTTGGATGTTGGTGAGGTTGTGAAAGGGTCGACTGTTCCAGAATTTAGGTACAGCCAGGAGCATCTCTGCTTGCTTAGTATGAGGATTGCTGTATAGTCACTGACACTAGTCAGTGACTTGATGCAATTTGCTGGGTTCCTTATATAGGAAACATTATTTCTGATTGGCTCAATGAACTGACCTGAATTGGAATGTTTATTATGTGAAGTGCCTTGAGACGACTCTTGTCGTGATTTGGCGCTATATAAATAAACTTGAATTGAATTGAAACTTGAATTGAATCTGCTTTCGGTGACATTCTTGGGTAGCCTATTATAGAGGAGTTACCATTTTAAAAAGCTGCAAAATATTTTAACTCATTCTAAAATAAAGAAAGCTATACTATGAAAACAACAAGAAAGGTAAAATATGCCAGCAGTTGAGCTCCAACGTTTGGACAGCTCATTGATGAAGCAGCAGAGACTGGCTGGTCCTGATGCAGAAAGTTTGTTTGTAAAGCGCCTTTCAAGATGAAAATCACAAGGAGCTGCACAAACACAACAAAATAAATTGTTGCAGTAATTCAGTCTATATCAAATAAAGGCACAAGGCATCCTCTCAAAAATGTGGAAATGAAAGAGAGGACAGTTGGATTAAAACTTGTTTTGACGATATTATTAAGTCATCTACTAAAAAAAATTGTTGTCAAGTTTTGGAAAGAGCCGACAATCATAGCTATGGTGTGGGTGGACTGGTTCAAGAGTGATTAATTGAAAAGTTTCGTGTGGGTTTGAGTTTCATATGATTGATTTTCTTTTTTGTTGGGACCAAAAAAACGTATTTTCTTCAAAACTTATTTTCTTCATGACTTATTTTGTTCATATGTTTTAGGTAATCAACAACAGAGCAGCAGTTAGTAAAGTTAACATTAACCCCCTCCCCCAGTAAATAAAAACAATAAATCTGCCCTCATTCATCAGCTTGTTGGATCTGGTGAGGTCCGTTTTGTATCGAAGCTAAATAGATGGAATACAAACATTTAAACATTGGTATACCTTAAGAATAAAGCAGTTATCTGAGCTAATAACAGCAAAAACCCTTTTGTTGTGTTGCTGTATAACAACTCTTTTACTGTCTACAGGCCTGGGCTGTGTACAAGGGTAAATATCAGGAGGGAAGGGACAAAGCAGATCCCACTATGTGGAAGACTCGTCTCCGCTGTGCACTCAACAAGAGCACAGACTTTGAGGAGATTCCTGAACGCAACCAACTGGACATCACAGAGCCGTACAAGGTCTATCGAATCCAGCAGGACAGTTCATCCACCAAACCAGCAGGTAAACAACTCAAACAGTTGCTGTGTTGGAGCTGTATTTTTAGATCTGAAGAAGGCTTTCGACTCTGTAAACCATCAGATATTGTTGTCCAGACTGACTCAGTTTAATATCTTCAGTCAGGCACTTCAGTGGTTTGCCTCATATCTCTCACACAGGAAAAAGTGTGTGGTGTGGGATGGGGTTAAATCTCCATATTTAGACTGTGATACAGGAGTTCCTCAAGGATCTGTTCTTGAGCCTTTATTGTTCTCTCTCTTTATTAATAACTTACCTGAAGTCTGTCCAAATACATTTGCTCAAATGTATGCGGTTGATGTAGTTAAATATACGCAAGCAAACAGTGTCCAGCAGGTGGCAAAAGATCTTACAGCTGCTTTAGCATTAATGCTTAGCTGGCTGGAGGACTCATGCCTAATGTTGAACACCTCAAAAATTGTATGTATTTTTCAAAACGCCCCTTAAACTTGAAGCAGTCAAATATATTCCTGGATGGAGTAGAGCTTGATCTAGTACCAGAATTTAAATATCTTTGGGTCATTCTAGACCCAACATTATCCTTCAAGAGTCATATAAATAGTGTCCCAGGTACTTAAATTTAATAATCGAAATTTTACTCATATACGTAATAATCTAAATATGAATGTTGCAAAAACTTATTTTTACTCAATGATCATCTCTCATATGGACTATTGTTTGACATCCTGGTCACTTGCTTGTCCAACAACACTTAAAACTATTGAAAACATTTATAAAAGAAGTTTGAAATTACTTGACAAAAAACCGACTTCCCACCACCATTGTCATGTGTTAAAAAACATAAATTACTGAACTTCAATAACTTAATGAAACTTAAAAGAGTCTGTTTAATGTATATTAATATGTATAATATATATATATATATATATATATATATATATATATATATATATATATATATATATATATATATATACCGTAAATCCTCTAATACAGGCCCGGGCCTGTATTTGACTCAAGCTCATCAAGCTCCAGGCCTTTATTGGAAGGAGGGCCAGTATTAGAGGCAGGCCTCTATTTCTATTTGAGCAAAATGAACTAATGGTTCACTGGAGTTTTTGACAATTAAAATTGCGCCCACATTTTCAAAGTTAAACACATTTCTTTTAACAACGGTAGTTTCTGCTTCAGCCCTCTCCCCCCTCCCCCTGCGCAGCGGCTGCAAACTCACTGATGCGCCTGCAGCCTCTCGGAGTTCCTGCTGCTCTAAACATTAAAATAATTATTTCATTTTCTGTTCCTCACTTCTGATTACCTTCAATGGTGTCTGTTTGTTGCAACCACCAGGTACAAAAACTAACTTGTTTTTATTTGACTATTTTTCTGTCCTGCCTGTTTATTATCTTCCTGCATCTCCTCTCAATCCTAAAGAGAAACTGCTACCTGGGTTCATATATATTGACCTTATGAGTTACCTTTGAACTGCAGTTCTAAAAGAGCTACCGACCGCAAAAACAGTGGAGCGCTCCCTGCTTGGCGGCCGTATCATAAAGTCCGAGCAATAAACGCGGAAGTTAGATCCAAACACCCGTTGTGTGGGAGAAGCATCGAAATGAACTGTTTAATCTGCCCATCATTTGTGTTGAGAGATCAGCAGTGTTTGGATCAACAAAGGGCGACTACTTTGACAGTAGAAACTGTATTTATGGCTTATTTTTGTGCATTTAAAGTTCAGCCGCCATTGATAGTTGTTAAAAGTTGTTATGCATATGAAACAAAAAACGCCTTTTGTTTATCGGTTTATTGTGAAAAAAGGAAGTTGTGCTTGCTCCTTTTCCTGTTGGGCAGTTGTGATTTCTGTCCATTGACTGCGGAGGTGCTCCGGCGAAAATAGGATCGATTCTATTTTTGCCGGACGCCGGAACAGAGGGCAGCGCACGGCGCCGCACTGCCGGAGCACGGCCGCAGTAGTAGAATTGCTCTGATTGACTACAACGGGACCGATTTTGCTCCGGCGTTCGTGTCGGAGCGGAGCGGAGCGGAGGTAGTGGAATTTGCATCGGAGGACAAGGTGATGCGCGCAGCGCCCCGCTCCACAGCATGCAGCAAAACGCATCAGGCGCAAATAAAAGACAGAAAACATTAAAGGAAATGAACTGACATGAACAATCGCGTGTTAAATTAGTTTTTGAGGTGGCGACACCTGATTGTGGCCGTGCTCAGGAGGCAGATCTACCGACCGCGAAAACAGCGGAGCTCTCCCTGCTTGGCGGCCGTATCAGTGATCTGTGAGTCGGAGGACAAGGTGATGTGCCCCGCTCCACAGCAGCGAAACACATCAGGCGCAAATAAAAGACAGAAAACATTAAAGGAAATGAACCGACATGAACGATTGCGTGTCAGTACCTATGCTCTGACACAGCGCGTTGCCCCCCTGAGCGCAGGAGCTTGTCACCTGCTGACAGCAGGCTGCTGTATTTTCCGAGGGCTGCATCTTGCCGGTCATAATCACGTGACAGCGACTAGTCGACGACAGGCATAAAAAGTCACTATAGTGAAGTCGACTAGTTCATACAACCCCTATTGCTCCCCAGAGTGTTCTGCAGCATAATCAGCACGTTCTCTTTGAACTTGATAGTGTAATGACCTGGCTGGGGTTGTAAGCCAGGTGCATTCTGGGTATTGTGTTATATGTGTTTCCTATCGTTCTGCTGGTTCCTATGTGCTGATTTGCGTGTTGTGTGAGTGTTATGTAAGCCACAGGGAAGGTGATGTGTGTTCTGTGGAGTGGGTTGAATTAGCATGGTTAACTGACACCGTGACTCTGTGTGGTAGGAGCGTGATAGAGGATCGTGTCTGTAGCGTTACACAGCGTTGAAGAAAAAGCCTAACAAAGATCTGTGTGAACCTCTACTGCCTCCTGCTGGTTGATTTGGCGACTATAACCCTGCCGCTGAGACGCTCATATTTGCTTGTTACTACATTCCACCCGGCACTACATTCCACCCGGCCACAATAAGAGACCGGCCATTATTCACCACCGCTGACTCTGACACCGGCCAAAATTGGAGACCCGGCCTTTAATTGAATACCGGCCTGTATTAGAGGATTTACGGTATATATAGTTCATTAGGCATAAAGAAAGCTCAAACAGGACTACACGAGCTACAATTCGAGGAGAAATGTTTATACCACATAGACAGACAGCATTTGGGCAGAACGTCCTCTATGTCAAGGGTGGCCATCTGTGGAACAGTCTTCCTCAACTCATTAGAGAATGCTCGACCTTCAATTTGTTTAAGGCAAAGGTTAAAAACTGGTTATGGACAAATCAATTGTGTGGTCATGTATGAGTTGTATAGTTTGAATGTTTTATTTGTGAATAGAATGGTGTGTATGTGTACGTTTGGTGATGGAGTTTTTATTATGAATGAATGATGAATTTTTTATGAATTATTATGTCTTTTTATGTCTAAGGACAACAGATGGAAATTAGCCTTTGGCTATAATCTGGCATGTTTACATTCATGTAAGCTGCTTTTACATTTATGTTCATTAACATGCACTGTCATAAATAAATAAATAAATAAATAAATAAATAAATATCACCTTTTTACTGTCCTTCTGACTTTAAGTTATCAGTGCTTGACACTCATTTTGTCCCACCAATTCTTTGCAGTGACAAACTACCAGATGATGCATCAGGTGAAACAGTCTCCAAGGAGTCCTGGTTACCAGGACAAGCAGGTAGAATGAGATGTTTGACCACTTTAGGCAAACATAACTAACTGTAAATTTCATGTTACAGTTAAAGAAAGTATTTTATTATTTAGAAAATTATGTCCTACATCCATCTCCTGCATTAGCTTCTGATAGAAAATAGATGGTGAAACTCTAGGGTTAGAAAAGCCTGACAGATCTACGTCAAGTGCTGAACTCACCTATATGGACTCACAACAAGGATGGCTGTTGTTGGTTTGGCATCCAGTAAACAGTAGAGAACAACTCGATTAGTAAAAACTAACCGTTAGCATTAGCAACTCCACCACAGAGCAGAACTCCTTCAGGCTTGTGTTATTTGTGGATATAAAACATCAACGTTGCAGAGCAAACAGAGTTGCTTTGCTGTTATCTAATAAGAGGAGAGATGTCCAAAGGCTCTAAATCCTGTCCTGTGAAGCTACTTTGTTTTCCATCTGAATTATTGGAACAAGCGCATCTTAGCTTTTTTTTTCCCCAGAGCACGACTTACAAGGCATTCATTCTTACTCGAGACATACTAGAGACCGCTTCATATGTATTAAAGATGTGGGACACCCTAAATTTGCAGTGGTCTCTAGTCAGAATAAATGCCATGCATGTCATACTCGGGGGTGGGGTGGTGGTGGAATGCTCAAATGCACTTGTTTCAAGAATTAGCAGAATGCTACATCAGAGGAGAGCTTAACATGGCCAGATTAGGGGATTTATTTCTTGATATTTGGACATCTCGCCTCTAATTGGCTGACAGCAACATGACCGTCACAGACTCCGTTTGCTCTACAACGTTAAGGTTTTATCTCCATAAATAACACAAGCCTGAAGGTGTTTTGCTGAGTGTGGAGTAACTCATGCTAACAGTTAGCTTCTACCAGCCGAGTCGTTCTCTGTTAGCCTTACCCGTTGTGAGCCAAGATTGATTTGCTCGTGTGTCATTTGGTTATTCCACATTCAGTGTTACTGCAAACATAAGTTTGTTTCCAAATGAAAATATTCAACGTACATATCTGTAGATGAAGGAAAATGTACACATTTGTCCTCACCTTTTCAAAAAACATTGAGTTTGGCCTGCAACTTCGTCCTAGTTTTTTATTTCAGCCCAGTGTGAATTAGAGTTTGACACCTCTGGTCTAGAAAGTTGAAGAATACTCATTTTTTAAAATGGCCCATGCTCTCGGCCTCATCAGATGGCCATCTAATTCTTGTTTTTGTTCTTTAATCTCCTTTTCAGAAGGAATTGTTTCAGTCAGACAAAGAAGAAAAGACATGTTCTGGTAAGTGTTACACAAACAAACAGGTTCAGTGAAACAGTATGAGTCAGGCGAAAGGACCCATTCAGACGTTTATTTAACAGCAACAAACTCAGCAAATTCAGCCTACCAACATGACTTTTATGAGCATCACAAAGGTGATCATTGTTTATTAGGTTTAACTGGGTTTAGCTTGATTTGTTCATACTCCTGTTGGATAATTTGTGTGACAGTGGGTGAGTGGATGTTTGTTATGTTTTAATGGGAAACACTTCTCCATTTTTATTTCTGTGGTTCATTTTGGCCTATGGGATCTCAAATGAGAGATTATAGATTTTTCAGTTTTTAGTGAATATAAATAATACATCAGTGTTCCACACAAGTCCTTAAAGCTCCAACATCAAATATTTGCAACCATGAAGAGACAACCGTCCTCTTGCTGTGTGCAGATTTGTGGTTGCATTGATGTTCATATCAGAGCGAGAAGCTTCTCTCTCTCTTTCTCTGTGCGACTCGTTTTATGTTTGTACTCTTCAGCCCTTTGTCTCTAAAGTTGGAAAATCTTCAAAAAAGAAAAAAACCAAAAAACTAAGAAGTTCTTCATTTTTGTCTGTTGAAAATTGCAGCCTTTTGGGTTCAAGAGGATCTCACAAAGAGTTAGAGCCAATTCAAATCCAGTTCATAAAGAAAGAAATTTCCAGGTTAGGATACACTTTAGGGTTTCATTCATTGTGGTTTGGAGGCAGATTGAGATGCTGTGGTGTAACACTCAGTGGTTCTCTCCAGTCACATAATAGTGGTCTGAAAACAAATTGAGTTGAAGCTATATAGAACACAGTAGTTAAAGCCATACTTTACAACTTCTTCATATTTTTAAATCATTTTCTTGAGCCAGTATGTGGTAAATGACTCTTTACAGGGTTAATGAAAAGTCACTCAGACCTCCACCACCTTCTGTGGCCAGAATATCACACTTGCAACTTCAGACTGGCGGGCCACCACCTGTGGAAAAAAACTGAGCTGACATACCTGGAGCTGCAGTCTGTTTCCAGCTCGTTTCCTGCATGTTTGAAATAACGAACACATCTAATTTGTTTGATTTACCCCGGCTTTCCACAGGAGTCGTCGGCAGCACGTTACTGCAGCAGCATGTCATAGCTGCTGATAGGAACCGCTGTGGTCAACAGAACCTTTTCCACTGGAGCCGCCAGCAGCCGTCAGCAGCGCGAGTCGGCAGCGTCTCAGGAGCAGCATGTCGCGGCCCTTCGCGCCGGTTCTATTTTCTACGCGCGACGCCTCTGAAACGGGTCAAGGTCGACATTTTTGGGGAAGGAAAGACAGGAAATCTGACGCGGAAATGGAGAGAAGCTCCCGAGATTTTCAGAATAAAGAACGTACTGCCTTCCGGTTGCTTTACTTTTAAAAAAGGTTACTAACTGTGCGGCCCCGTGAGAAGTTATCACATAGCTAGCGGTCTCCTTTGTTTTTCAGGTCTGTATTGGCGATTATAAAATGGACAGAACATAAAACACAAAGCTTTTGGAGCCATGTTGTAGTTTTCTCCTGCTTGTTGTTGTGTTTACTGACGAAGTCACTCGTGTGACCTCGTGCTCTGTCGGTGACAGCTGCTCCCCTGCTGCTTCGCGTCTCGTGGGAAGGGCCAAGCAGCAGCTTACGCGAGCAAGACGTGCTGCTGCAGTAACGTGCTGCTGACGGCTCCTGTGGAAAGCCGGGGTACGTGTTGAACCGATCATGTAGACACCAAGGAAGGCTGTGGAGACATTTCTGCAGTTAGATTAAGGTGTTAAAAAGATGCACATTGAGGAGATACTGAAGTTTCACTTTTGTTTCTTCTAAACGAACACAAGGGGATGCAAAAAACAAGCCAAAACTTAAACTTAAAATTTTTATGACTAGTTAAATTCAGATTTTTATACCAAAATAAGAAAACTTACATTAAATGCATGAATACTCATGTGCAGCAGTGAGTGAATATAGATGTTTCTACTGATTGTTTATCAGTCCTGCATGTCAGCTTTGGCCCATTGTTCTTAACATGTTCATTCTCTCCACAAAAACAATTTATTCCTCTGACTGCTCCACTTTCACTTGAGTCAGCCTTCAGTCAGATGTTCGGATATTTCATGTAGATAATACAAAACACAAGTCAGGATTTATTGATCCATCTTGGGGCGACGGTGGCACAGGAGTTAAGTGCTCGCCCCGTAATCGGAAGGTTGCAGGTTTGAGCCCTGCTCAGTCTGTCGCTGTCGTTGTGTCCTTGGGCAAGACACTTAACCCACCTTGCCTGCAGGTGGTGGTCGGAGGGACCGGTGGTGCCAGTGCTCGGCGGCCTCGCCTCTGTCAGTGCGCCCCAGGGCAGCTGTGGCTACATCGTAGTTCATCCCCACCAGGGTGTGAATGTGTGTGTGAATGGGTGAATGACTGATTGTGTTGTAAAGCGCCTTGGGGGGTTCCAGGACTCTAGAAGGCACCATTTAAGCCTGTTTCACACCTAATGCTGTACAGAGGCAGTCCATTTTCTGAATGGCATTTGTATGGAAATCTCCAAAAATCTGTTCCCACAAGAGCACCAAATGATTTGACACCATACATTTAAAGATAAACCTTTAAAAGTAACATCAGTCATCACACACTGTGAGCTGATACCCCTGTCATAAATAATAAAACTAAAGCTGGCAAAATCAATTATATTGAAATATACTGAATGCACCTTGGTGTTTCATGTCTCACTTCCTGTCGGGCTCATGTAATTTCTTTAACATCGTGACAATCAGCAGGTGGGCAGAAATAAAACACTTCATGCGAGAACTTTTAAGAACTCCACATCTGGATCCGCACCGCAGCAAAACTGGTGCAAATGCTCTGATTGGACTCAATGGTTTTTGATCTACGTGGAAGCCTTGTGGAAACCAGACCGCATCCCTACCATGTTCTGCGTGAAAAAGGCTTAAAGTATGCAGCCCTGGAGCAGACGTTAGAAGACAAATAATGAAAGCTGTGCTTTAAGGTCAGACTTGAAATTCAGGATCTTTCCTTTTCAGTATTGAAACTTTAAACTGAAAGAGATTTTGGAGCGTTTTTGTTTTCATTTTTGAAATGTGTGCTTGTACTCCTGCTTTTAGCTGGTGTAGGTTCAGTTCTACACACCAGTATCTCACTGGGCTGTGCGTGTTTTCACTTGAAATCAAACGGAAGTGGTGCAACACAATTGTGACTAATTCTATATATGACTAGTTCCCTTTGGGGATTTGCCATAACTGCAAACAAATTGTGACATGCATTTTTTTTTTTTGCTTTACACGTGCATTTTACATTCTCAGCTGAAGCTTCTTTCCACTCTGCAACCCAATTGCAAATGGCTGGAACAGGCTTTGTGTCATCATGCACTGCTCCTTCCGATCTAAGTAGCGTCGGATCTGGATCCGTCCTACTCTGGACTGTAAACACTAACACCCAGTCTCTCTGAGTTGCTAGTGTGGTATTTAATCTTCACAGTTGTGAAAAAGTTATTTCTTTTTCATCTAGTTTGCACTTTTGGTAACACGTAGAACCCCAAAAGGTCATTTTTGGCTGTGAGAGTTACAGGAATTAGTCCAGTCTTTATAGAGAACAGTTTAGTTGCCATAAATGGTTGGATTTTATCTTCTGGAGCTCGGAAGAACCGAGCCACATTGTGACTGTGATTTCACATACTGTACGTTAAACCACCACCAGTACCAGAGTGGCTTTTCAGATGGATTACTTCTTCAAACTGGCACCTGTCCAATGTTAAAACCACCCGATTGACAGGCTAGGGTGGTGAGTAAAAGCAAAATGTTATCAGCTAGCAGCAAGATAAATGGTGTTAAAGTTTGGTGGGCAAGTGTCAGGTACGGACTGGGACAATAATTCATCCCAGCTACCTTTTCTCTGTCCGTTGTCCCGATGACAAGTTCACCACTAGTGTGTGCTTTACTGCAAATGCTGATTTCTTCATTTTCCATGATGCTTTGCTGGGGATCCAGGGTTAGGTTATGAAATGGGTGGAATTCACGTAGTTGGAGGTGGGATTGCATGTAATCCAAGCGTCTTAGTTCCAGATAGAAAACATGTCTTAAGAAAAGAACTTGTACTTATATCTCCAGTGCCAGGGGTAATATTGTAATCATTAATGGGCCTATCTTTGCTCTGGAAGCAGCATGACATAGTCCCTTTAACTCTCAGTTTATCCTCATTTGAGTCACAGCTCTGTGTCCACATGGAGACAACCGAACGGATGTCTCTGGCTTCCTGCAAAAAGTCTTGCAGGCAAAACTTTAAATCTGAAAGTCCTTCAAAATGAGAGAGCCTGTGCCTCATACAAGAAATTTGAGAACTCGTAAATATTTCAAAATTTTTTGAGAACTCTTGTGAATGACGTTGGCAGTTTGACATCAGAAGTTGCAGCATAGTGATATCCTGGTATAAAAACACCAAAGTTGTTGAGGGGTGAAGCTTTGTCCTGCCACTGATCGGATTGTTGTTTTAGCTCAGTCAGGATTTATCTGCAAACTGCTTTAGTTCCTACGTGGAGTGACTTTGAAATCAATAACAACAAAGAAAATGTTGTTTCACAACATGCGTAATGTTTCTAAGTATGATTGGATTAATCTGTTTCTCTGCTCTGCTTCAGAAGTCCTGATGAGAGAGCACGTGTACTGTGAGGTAATGGAGAAAAAAAATCAGATTCAGGCCCCTGCTCCTGTGAAGTTCCTAAGCCCTACGCTTGTTATATCAGGTAAGAAAACTTACCAGAATATACACAAAAATATTAACCAAATAAAACAGTTCTGATCTTTTGACTGCATCAGCCAGAGTCTTAGCTACATTTTGCATGTACAGATTTTCGTATGGAGGTGAGGCTGTTGTACCAAGGCCACATGGTGACAAAAGTGGTCACCAGTAGCCCAGATGGGTGCTTCATTCTACAGGGACGTGTTCCTTTAGGAAATGAACGGATCTATGGACCCTGCTCTGTCCAGCAGATCTCCTTCCCTTCTCCAGCTTCTGTATCTCTACCATCCTTCATGGCTGAAGCAATGAATCGCCTTCTTTGTCACCTGGAACGAGGCGTTCTGTTATGGGTGGCACCAGATGGGGTGTTTATCAAGAGGTTCTGCCAGGGCAGGGTGTATTGGAGTGGGCCCATGGCCCAGCACATCGACCAGCCAAACAAGCTGGAGAGAGAAAAGACTTTCAAACTGCTTGATATACCCACCTTTCTTAATGGTATTGTAGAACATGCACACTTTTTTTTTGGAAAATCTGCTCTGTCAGATAAGGATTTGTTTATATATATATATATATCTATATCTATATATCTATATCTATCTATATATATATATATATATATATATATATATATATATATATATGTATATATACACATATATACATTTGACTGAATGTATAAATTACTGCCTTTGCAGCGCTTCAGAACAATCTACAAGGGAAGGGGCAGATGCCCTCTTATCAGATCGAACTCTGCTTTGGAGAAGAATATCCAGACCCCATCGTACCCAAAACCAGAAAGCTCATCATGGCGCAAGTTGGTGGAATAAACTATACACATAGATTGTTTAATGTCAGCTTGTAAATATTCAGATGAATTATTAATGAAAACAATTTGAATCACCACCCTTGGATATCATGACAACAATTAGCTCAACTGCTGACTTCTAAAGTGACTCTATGCTGGCCACTTAATTAGGTATGCTCGGCTAGTACAAGTTTAGAGTAGCCTGAAAAGCCATCCTATATATGAGTATTTAGTCTGGTCACGACCCATAGACAGATCTCAGTCATGGGGAGGAATCCGTGGTTGTCTTTGAAACTTGTCTTTATATGCTATTGGACAACGAACGACGTGACATACTTACTGCTACGGATGTCAGTCAACGGGGTAGTCCACCATACACTGTTGAAGGTGACACAAATACATCCTTTTTCTAAATAAAGGACTTAAGTACCTTCATCTGCTATTGAGTCAAATGGGCCTTCCCCACTAGCATAGCATAGCCCCAGCTGTCCCCAGCCTGGCCCAGTTGATTCCACACATCCTTGCTTAGGATTGCAAGGAATGCAGTCAGAGATGTTCTCTCCTTCTTGGTAATCAGCATGATATTGAACTGTGCATGCTATAAGCCTACTTGGGTCAGTGGCCCACCGGGACAGTGCCAGAATGCCAGATAGGCCAGTCCAACCCTGCACACTGGGCTGATTCAACCCACCAATCAAAGGCTTCCCCTAATGGGAGGTGTAAATTTGAGCCAGCCTATCAGTCAGCAGTGGGTGTGTTGGCCCTGGTCAGCCTGAAGCAGACCACTTTTGGGCCATTCCCATCTGTACCGGGTCGGCCTGGGCCGGGTAGCGTAGGTTGTTTATATATCTGGATGGCCTGGTATTTTTCCGGGCCAACCAAGGCTCATTCTCAGCCCTCTTCTTGAGGAGGTCTGCTTCAGGCCGACCAGGGCCAACACACCCACTGCTGACAGCAAATTCACACCTTCCATTAGAGCAAGCCTCTGATTGGTGGGTAGAATCAGCCCACATGGGCTTAAGACAAGGATGTGTGGAACCAACCGGGCCAGGCTGGGGCCGACCCAGTACAGATGGGAATGGCCCATTTGAGAAGAGCTTTGAAAAACTGTCCGGTTGCACCCTGAAAGACAGCCAGGCTATGCTAATGTGGATAGTCTCTATGCTATCCAGAACATGCGGAGCCAATGCTAGTGGGAAAGGCCCAAAAGAAAAAGCCTGGGTGTAAATTGTACAGAGTTCATACCAAAGCTATTTCAAACAAGCTGTCCCCACCTTAGTTTTGCTCAGTTGCAGTAACATCCCCCCCACCAAACCAATAGAGCGCTGTGATTGGCTGCTCAGGTCAATGGTAGACCTGCTGAGGCTACAATGGAGCGTGGCTAGAGCTAGACCTGCAAAGCAAATTTCTTTTGCTACTGCTATAGTATGTCTAGATTTCTAGGCTAGGATGCAGACCTGTTTCACCTTCAGAAGTACCAGTTTTCCATGACATAGATTAGTTGTTGGAAATAGTGCTTAGAGATTTTGGTCCAGTTTGGACCACACAATGATGGTTAAACAGTGGCCAGTTGGTACCAAGGGACCCAATGTAGGCCATAAAAATCCCCTCACCACTGCTATACCTGACATGAATCATACATGACATGGTCTTCTGCTGCTATGGTCCTTCTGCTTCAAGGTGCGACATGTGGTTCAGAGGAGATCACCTGCAGAGTTTTGTTGATCAGTGTTTACGTGAGTTACGATTGCGTTCAGCCCGCCCATTCTCCTCTAACCTCTGACATCAGCAAGGCATTTTCATCCACACAAGATACTCTCTGTTAACCCCCTAGAGGTGATTGCGGATAAAAATACCAGCACGTCAGCAGTTTCTGAAATACTCAGACCCGCAGTGTTCATAGTAATTAGATTTTTTTTCTTCTTCATTCTGATGCTTGGTTGGAACATCTTCACCACATCTAGATACCCAAATGCATTCAGATGCTGCCGTGTGATTGGCTGATTAGTTACTGGTTAACAGGTGTACCTATTAAAGTGGCCAGTGAATGTGCATTTCTCAATTAGCCAAAACATAATTTTAACAAGTAACTGAATTTTAAGATTTTTAATTCATATGGAAAACATGTTAAAACGTTTACATTTGCACTGATCAGACACAAGCTCTGGGCGACAGTATTATTTTCAGCCAGCAGATGTCCTCAAAAGCACATTTGTGATGTTGCTCTGTGTTCTGTTGCTCAGGTGGTTCCCTTGTTTGCTGTAGAACTGATGCGGAGACTCAACTTGGGACAAAGTCAAGAAAAACGTTTGAATCTCTCGTCAAACTCAGCAGGAAAGATGACTTTGGAAGGCTGACTCTGGAACAGCGACCCGGTGAAATGCAGCTCTGTGAACAATTTTAAAAACAGTAGGAATACCATTTGTGAAGATGTGCATTATATATAATGAAATGTGAGTGTGTGGTTGACTTATGTGCAAGGTATTAAGCGAAACATAAACATGTATTTTTGAACACTGTATACGCCTAGAAATGAAAACCAAAATAAGAATAAATAAGTAAGTGGACTAGTCTTTTTTCTGATGACCTTTCACCTCTCAGGCTTCAGAGTCTCTACGCCATCACGCATTTCAGAAGGGTTGTGGGTGTGCATGCAAAGTGCAGCTAAAAACACGCTTATGACATAGTAATGTAAATGATTTTCTTCGTTTTCATCGATGTTGATCTGAAATTTGAAAGATAATACATACTAATCTAGATTTCTATTTCTAATAAGAATAAAGTGACACCAGCAATTCAGTCTGTAGAGCTTTTTTCCTCATTTATTTCTAGCGAACATCATTTAACAGATTCACAATTTTTAAAAATATACATTTTTGTAGCTTTAACATTTAAAAAAAAATAAACAGATTAAATCTTCTCTTTGAAAAAAAAGACAAACTAAAGTGAGAGAGAGTGCTGAATCAGATGAGATACCCGTATCTGAGTTTAAAATACTTTCATCATTTTCCCTGCTTTCAAACATATACAGTACATAAAACATGAGATGGGAACAAAAGCGTACAGTACACAGGGGTCAAGATCATTCACAAAGCATCATGCTCCAACGTGTTATTAGCACCATTACTCTTCAGCCCATCCTGCACCTTTTACTCCTTCCATCATTCAGGTTTAATGGAAAAACACCACGAGTGTCGAGGCGAAGTGGCACAGACCTGTCTGTGCGTGGGATTGTCTTTTACGCAATTTTCATTAGTGTTCTCCCTTTCTCAGAGATAATGTTAAGAACATATTGGAGGGTAATGCCTTGATGAAGAAACCATTTTGAAATGACTCCCGGTGATGAGAATGGAAAAAGGCGAAGAGTTGCTCATACATTCACTTTGCCCGCCCAGACCGGCGAGAAGACATCGGCTCAGAAGCAAGAAATTAAACAAAACAAGAAAAAAATGCATCGCAAGATTGATAAGAGATTGCATTAAATCTGTTTAGCATATTTACTGTATATAACATTTGTAATGTATTATATATATTTATATTGTCAATTTTTGTATATTTCTGTGATTCCTCAATAGCTTTTAGTTTTATAACACTGATTGAAAATACCCTGCAGCAGTGACTTTCATTAAGTAGGTGTGTGGGACAACAATAACAAAAAACAGAGTGAACACACACACACACACACACACACACACACACACACACCAGTGCTTGATTGTCTCACTGATCGTCTTCAGTGTGTTAGTTAAGAGTCCTCCACATATCTTTGAGCTTCTGCTCCTTTCAGGGCTGTGCTGAGTACAGTAAGGCTGAGGGAGAGGAGATGAAAAGAGACAAGGAGAGGAGAGGAGAAGAAGAGAAAGGTGCAGTGGGTGACAGAGAAGGGGGGGGGGGGGGGGGGTAGAGACTAATCACCTGTAAAGTGTGTTTCCTATTGTTTTGTATTCCTTCCCTGCAACTCTGCCTTGAGGTCTCTCCATTGTTTTTCTTTCTGGGTGCAAAAGAGACAAGGAGGGTGTGTATATGTGTGTACTTGGGTGTATATGTGCACATTTCTACTGCCACTTCATTAGCTTGGAGCCATGAGGTAAATCCAAGAGCCTTTCATCAGTTCCAGCTGAGGGAAGAATGTCTGGAGCAGACCAGCGCCGTTTTCGAGATAGTCGCTGCTCTTTAGCCGAAGAATCTGCAGCCTGTGAGCATGGAGGGTTTGATGCAGATGGAGATGGTTGATGAGCAAGAGGGGGAGGCGGGGGTGGCATCTCCTCCCTTTGTGAACTGCTCGACTCTGCTCCGGCCCTGGAGAGGGGCTGTGTGCGGTGGGCCCGGGAGCTGGCACGTGTGTGTGTCTGGTGAGTTTGGGTGGGCGTGGGGGTGAGGGCCAGGCAGACGTCACCTTCTGTGAGCTGACGGCATGGCAAGCCATACAGCTGTGTGGTTCTCTGAGGAGAGCAAGAAGACCAGCCTCTGTCTTGTACAAAGAATGGATACTCCACCAAGACCTGCAGTAACTCCTAAAACCAACAAACAAAAAACAAACAGGTGTGTTCAACTCAGCCAGAAGCAACTTTCCTGGTTTAAGCTGTAATGTAAACACAAAGGTAAGGCAGAAAAGGGCTCAAGAGAAAGCTGACCTGAGTGTTGCGATCTGTGAGGTGGACCTGCAGGTGGCTGAAGCCCTCAGTACTGCTGGGAGAGATCAGCAGCACAGTGCAGGTGCTGAGGTGGAACTCCGGGGATGTATCTGCACTCCTCAGGAAGTCCTCGGTCCGCAGCTCCTCCACCCGCTTCAGTCGCCCACTGCCCAACTCAATCAGAGACCCCTTGGTGAAATGAGGTAGGATTGTGGGTGAAGATGGGCGAAGGGCTGGGGATGAGGTGTGGGGATTGGAAGGAGATATCGCTCTCCCTTTGTCTCTGTCCCTGTTGCGTCGTCTCTCACGCTCACTTTCTCTCTCTTGGTCTTTGTCCTGCTGCTGCTGTTGCCTCTCTTTGACCTTACCTCGCTCCCTGTCTCTCTGAAGGACCTTCTCTCTTTCTTGGTCTCTTTGTGACCTGTCATGTCTGTTAGGCAGATCCAGGGGTGAGTGTGATGAGTTCCTCAAATTGTGCTGCCTGAGTCCTGGCTCCCTGTGCAGGTTGTACGGAAATGTTCCTGAGGGGCTGTAGAGTGGGAAGGTTTGAGCCTGAGGCCTTGGGTGAGAAACCGACCCTAAGGAATAGTAGATATGGGCCTCAGTTTGTGTGGCCCCCACACGTGACAAAAGTCCGCCTCTGCCTGTCCTAGAGTCTGGTCCAAGGGGATGGGGACTGGTGGAGAGTGAAGTAGAGCTGGTCTTCCCAGAATGATGTCTTTCCTGCAGAGAAGAATGTTGCTCAGGCATTTCTTGAGTTTGCAAGTCTGACAAAAAAGCTCCCCCAGGGTGGACAGGGGAGGTTAGATCCTCCCGTTGTCTTCGTCCACCGTTGGCATGGGAAGAATGTGGGCTGACATTCAACCTTAGCCTGTTGCCATCATTCCCATATTCTCCTATGAGCAGAGGTCTGGTGGTTGAGGCAGTCCTGCTGCCTGGCCCATCCAAGCCATTGGGCCTCTTGCTCAAGTACCTAGGTCTTACTTCAACTAAGCCAGGGTCTTGGGGGAAAAGGGACTGAGGGCTAAATAGGTATGAAGTGGAGAAGAGCGATTGGCTGTAGTCCCGCCGGCCACTGTTAACATAGGACCACATCTCCCTGGAACTGGCTGGGAAAGGAGTCTTGAATGAGGAAGTAGAGGAAGAAGAAGGGGAAGGAGGCAATGCCAGGGGCCCATCTCCTCTGTACCAACTGGGGGGTTGGGGCAGGGGTGAGACATGTGGATCATCTCTCCAAGCTGGAGACCCAGAGCTCCTCCTATCGCTGACCGTCCCCGGGAAAAGGGGAAGGGAGACAGATGAAGAGTAGCTAAGGGGCCATGCTAATGGCACGGGGAGGCCTGGTACTGGAGCAGGAAGGGGCGGGGGGCTTTGTAGAGGATGGAGGCTCAGGTTAGGGAGGCCTCTGTCTCTGTCATTGGCCTCCCTGCCTCCCTCCCCTCTACCAGTGCTCAGCCGACTCCGGAGAGGCACGGGGGGCTTAAAGTCATCCACAGGAACGTGGTGATCAGCAGAGCCTTGCCGAGTATCCCTCTTCTTGGGAGGGAGGCACTCTTTGCTGCGGCCAGGGCTTGGATTCATGGGTGGGCTCCAGCAGCAGTGGGGGCCCCCTGCGTGTTGGTGAAGGCTAGGTCACATGGGCCTCACGGGAAAACGAGGGGCAAGGACAGATGGGAAGGCTGGTACACAGCATCACTCTTGGATCCCTGTTTCTGCTCTCCGACTAAAGCACCACTCACCTAGAGAAACAGGGACAAGGTGGGGAAAAGGGAAAGACAGAAGTAGAAGAGATTAAGTGTGAGCATTGGGAAGGAGCCGTCTGTTAGGTCCTGGCATCAGCTGTACTTAGGACTTAGCTGCCAGTATGGTCAGACATGCAAACAAACATTCAGCTGTAACAGACAGATGGAGAGAAATCAGATAATCACTCCATCTTCCAAACTCCTTCAAGGAAGCTGGAACCCATCTTTGTTGTGATCTTGTTTTTTGTATAAAATTCATTACCTGCGTGCACTGTGGTGGGGCAGAAACTACCCAACTTACTTGATTCATTCAAACACATTACTCCCACATGTGGGCTAAAAATACACCTGCAGCCAATGAAGCTCAGAAGCAGCACAGTAACACACTCAGAGCCCTCCCAGCAGGAGGGTTTTCATCTCTGACTCTCGGGGGATGATTGGAATATGTAGATATGCTTTTCTACCACTTTCATGAACCACCCCCACAACACCCTCGGGTGCTCTCTGTGTTCTATAAGCTTACTACCAACACCCCCTCACCCCTTCTAGTTCAGACACAGAGAGCGAGCGAGAGGGAGAGACAAACACGTACTCCCTCAAGTGGCTGTAAACACTCCCCCAGTGATAGGCAAAGCTGGTCACTACCCACCAAAGCTGACACAAACACTGTTGATTTTACCACCAGTTGTTGTAGACACAGGCTGTGTGTCTTTGCATGTTAATCAGGCATCACAGCGGGGATGTGGGGAAAATATGTGCCACTGTGTGCAGACATGTATGCCCTGTTGATCTGTCAAAATGTGTCGTATTTCTGTCTGGGGAACAAAAATGTGAATGTGTTTTATTGTTTGGGTCTTTGTGCGCGTGTGTGTTTGTGTTAGAGCGCTTCGATGTGTCACAGATTTTCAAACCTTGTTTCATTCAGCGAGAAGTGCGGAGGAGCTCCACTAATTCTCCTCCAAATGTTTTAAATGAGCTCTTTTGAAATGAATGGCGGCGGCATGAGTCCGGCCGTTCCCCTCCTCCACTTACATCGCTGCTCCAGCTGCACCACAGCGCCGCCCTGCCACCCAGCCCCGCATTCACCTGCAAGTCTCGCAACCGTTAACCAACTCCCCGCAGCCTCAGCATCCGCCACATCATCACCATGGCAACAGGGTCCACACAGGAACACAAATACATGTAGCTGATTAGAAAGGTTAAATGAGGACACGGCTCATTGAGTAACTTGGTCCAAACAGTGGAGTCAGAGTAGAGTCAGCTGTCAGTACGTTTGAGCGGAGGGCTCGTAGTCTCACAGGACGGACGAAATAAACCAGAGCACCTAAAATGATGACGTGTATTTATTAAGTCAACACAAACGTTGCTGCATTTACTGCAACTCTGATACAGAAGGATCTCTTCTCATGACACTTATCAGTAAATCATATTTTGTTAGCTTAAAACGTGGAAACGGTTTCTACGTTTTAAGCTAACAAAATAACACAATGTCTTTTGGACTAACTTGTAGCTGTATTAAAATTAGATTGATTAAAATTTCTAATAGAAAGTATTTAAGAGGTTGGTTCTGACACTTAGGCATCATATTTAGGCAAATACCTTTTCTTATAAAGCTCCACACCTGGTTTTTTATGTTACAGTAAAAATTTCAGTGACAGCTGACTCAGTAAAAAATTAAAGGAGGATATTTGGGGAGGCATGGACAAATATTTCTGCAGCATACATGTGATCAACATTAAAAGATTAGGGTTGACAAACTAAATTCTCAAACCTGGATGTAAAATCAAAATCAGGGATGAAGGGCAAATGGGTCACAATAAGCAGAGTCCTCCAGTTTACCAACAAAGAAATTAAACGGTTTAAAGCTATTTCATGTTGAAGGGTCCTCAGGAAATCAGGCGAAAAAGCTAAATGCTGAACAAGTGAAAACCTTCAGCAAAATTCCATGATGAAGAAAACAGCCTCATAAATAAAATGAAGGAATCACGTCACTTCAGGAAAACTGTGTGAAAGTCCTGATGCAACTCACACAAAATCATCCAGCAGAGAAAAGCTATGAAAAGGGTTCAGAAATGTCTGTCTTTACAAACGGCCTGAGCTAGAACGCTTTTGGAAAAGAAAAACCGGAAAGATTTTTCCTATTTAGTTCAAATAATAATGAAAAAAAAAATTCTAAAATGTTTCGCAGAACAGATTTGATTCAATAATCCTAACAAGTCTAGAATGCACCACGCAGAGCAGCGGTTCCTAAACTTTTCAGCTTCAGGACAAAAAATAAACAAAATACAGCCATCAAGACATGCAATGCCAGATTTGATGACTGAAAACTAAAAAAATGCCAAATAATTTAAGGCATGAAGAAAAATGCTTCAGATCATGTTCCCTGATATGACAATTCAGTTGAGTTTTTCTAACAGTTATGCTAGAAAATGGCTTCAGCAAAGGTTTTTCAATTTTATTTGATTTCTGGAAATCATCTGAAGACCCTCCGTGTAGTTCTCAGTGACCCACAGAGGGGTCCCGACACCAGCTTCAGGGACTGCTGACATAGAGACACAACTAAATGATGTCTCATTTTAAATATTTCTACAAATATCCAACAACGAAAACAAAACAAACCAAATAATTAATCTGAATAATTTGAAACCTGACAAACGGAACATAAATAAACACAGGACCCTCATAAAAATATGGATTTCAACTTTCTTATAGACTCAATCAAATAGAGCTAAAGTAAAGTTTACTTAATAAATTTAGTGAAATCATTGATTCAAAAGGTCAAACTGTGCAGCTTAATAGAAGAGGCTGAAAATCCTTAAAAAAAAATCTAACTAAAAACTACAGCATAAAAGCCCACCGCAATCTGGTTTTGGTGTTTGTCCTCAGATGACTCTCACACCCGCATCTTCAAAATAGACCTAATATAAACTTGCCAAAGAGTACAACAAAACAAAAAATGCAATTGTGCATGTGGAGGAGTTTGAAAAGAAACGTCTCCTAACAGAATCCTCCTACACGGTGCAGACGTGCACACAGAGCTGGAGTTTAGCTGGAGCTTCTGCAGCTCAAACAGTTCAGCTCATCTAAAGGGATGGATCGTTGGCATCATGGTGCTGCTCTACATTCCTTCACATGA